TGGCATCCACAGTTGTGCCTGTATGTAATGGGCTGGAGTGTCATGTTTCCCACAATTAGAGTCCCTGTAACTTCGTCCACATGTGTGCCTGTCTGGAACAGGATGGTGTGGCCTGTTCCCCGCAATGAGGGACCCCGCAATGGGGGACCCCATGATGGCATCCACAGTTGTGCCTCTCTGGAGTGGGCTGGAGGGCCATGTTCCCTGTGACCAGGGACACTGGGATGGTGTGCACAGGTGTGCCTGTCTGGAATGGGCTGAAGCGGCATTTTCCCAGGCACTAGGGACCCCACAACAGCATCCAAATGTATGCCTGTGTGTAAAAGGCTGGAGCAGTGTGTTCCATGTGACAAAGTACCCCGCGACAGGTCCACGTGTGCCTGTCTGGATCGGGCTGGGTCGATTGGTGTGTTCCCCACATCAAGAGACACCACAACAGTATCCTCTGGTGTGCCTGTCTGGTACAGGTTGGATTGGCATGTTCCCCACAATGAGTGACCTCACGATGTTGTCCTCAGTTGTGCCTGTCTGGAACACCATGGATCAGTGTGTTCCTCATGAAGAGGGACCCTGCAATGGTGTCCACAGTTGTGTCTGTCTGTAACAGGCTGGAGGGGAGTGTTCCCCACAATGAGGGAACCCACAATGGTGTCCACATGTGTGCCTGACTAACGGGCTGGATAGGCGTGTTCCCCATGACGAGGTAACCTGTGACATCCACCTGTGTGCCGGTCTGGAGTGAGATGGATCGACGTGTTCCCTGTGATGAGGACACCCACGATGGCATCCACTGGTGCACATGTCTGGAATGGGCTGGAGCATCGAGTTCCCCATGGTCAGGGACCACACAATAATGTCCACAAGTGTGTCAGTCTGGAATGGGCTCAAGTGGTGTGTTCCCTGTGATGAGGAATGCCGTGTTGGGTTCCACAGGTGTGCCTGTCTGGAATGGTCTCGATCAGCATGTTCCTCGTGATTAGGGAACCTGTGACAGCATCCACAGGTGTGCTGGTCTGGATTGAGATGGATCAGTGTGTTTCCCACATTGAGAGACACCAAAGCAGCATCCTCCAGTGTGCCTGTCTGGTACGGGTTTGATTGGCATATTCCCCTTGACGAGGGGCCCTGTGCCATCGTTGACAGGTGTGCCTGTCCAGGAAGGGCTGCAGCAGCATGTTCCCTGTGACAAGGGACCCCGCAACATTGTCTAAAGATTTACCTGTCTTGAATGGCATGGAGCAGCATGTGCCCCGCAACAAGAGACACCTCGATGGTGTCCACAGTTGTGCCTTTCTGAAATGGGCTGTATTGGCATGTTCCCTGCATTGAGGGATGCCACGATGGTGTCCCCAGTTTTCCCTGTCTGGAATGGGGTGGATCAGTGTGTTCCCCGTGACAAGAGACACCATGATGGCGTCCCCAGGTGTGTCTATCTGTAATGGGCTGGAACAGCATGTTCCCCACAACGAGGAGCCCTGCACCATTGTTGACAAGTATGCCTGTCTGGAAAGGGCTGGAGTGACATGTTCCCTATGACAAGGGACCCTGCGACAGTGTCCACAGGTTTGCCTGTGTGGAATTGGGTGGATTGCTGTGTTCCCCATGACAAGAGACACCATGATGGCATCCACAGGTGTGCCTATCTGGAATGAGCTTGATTGGCATGTTCCCTGCAAAGAGGGAAGTTGTGATGGCATCCATAGATGTGCCTGTCTAGAATGGGCTCGAGCAGCATGTTCCCCACCACGAGGGTCCCCACACTGATATGGACAGGTGTGCCTGTCTGGAAAGGGCTGGAGCAGCATGTTCCCTGTGACAAGGGACCTCACAACGATGTCCAAAGATTTGCCTGTCTGGAATGGCATGGATCAGCATATGCCCTGTGATGAGAGATGCCACAATGGTGTCCACAGGTGTACCTTTCTGGAATGGGCTGTATCAGTGTGTTTCCTGCATTGAGGGACCCTGCTACATTTTCCACAGGTTTGCCTGTCTGGAATTTGGTGGATCGGTGTGTTCCCCACGACGAGAGACACCATGACATTTTCCCCATGTGTGTCTGTCTGAAAGGGATTGGATCAGGGTGTTCCTCACAATGAGGGAACCCGCAATGGCATCCACATGTGTGCCTGTCTCTACTGGGCTGCATAGGTGTGTTCCCCACAATGAGGTACCCTACAACATCATCCACATGTGTGCCACTCTGGAGTGAGATGGATCGGTGTGTTCCCCATGACGAGGAACCCCATGATGGTGTCCCCTGGTGTGCATGTCTTTAATGGGCTGGAGCAGCGTGTTCCCTCTGATGAGGGACCCCATGACTGTGTCCAAAGGTGTACCTGTCTGGGAAAGGATGGAGGAGAGTGTTCCCCATGACGAAGGACCCTGCAATGACGTCCACAGGTGTGCCTAATGGAACAGGCTGGAGCAGGATGTTCCCCACAACTAGGGTCAACATGACTTTGTCCATAGCTGTGCCTGTCTGGAATGGGATGGTTCAGCCTGTTCCCTGCAATGAGGGACCCCATGATGGCGACCGCAGGTTTGTCTGTCTGGTATGGGCTTGAGTGACGTGTTCCCCATGATGAGGGACCTCGCAACAGCATCCAAAGCTGTGCCTGTCTGGAATGGCCTGGATTGACTTGTTCCCTATGATGAGGGATCTAGCAATGGTGTCCACAGGTGTACCTCTTTGGAACAGCCTGGATTGGAATTTTCTCCTTGACAAAGGACCCCACAAAGGTTTCCAAAAATGTGCCTGTCTGGAACTGTCTGTACCTCTGTGTTCCCCCAACGCTGGACCCCACGACAGTGTCCACAGGTGTGTCTGTCTGGAAAGGGATGGAGTGTCATGTTCCCTGTGATAAGGGATGCCGCGACAATGTCCAAAGTTTTGCCTGTCTGAAATGGCATGGATCACCATATGCTCCATAATGAGAGATGCCACGATGGTGTCCACAGGTGTGCCTTTCTGGAATGGGCTGTATCAGCATGTCCCTGCATCAAGGGACCCTGCTACAGTTTGCACAGGTTTGCCTGTCTGGAATTGGGTGGATTGGTGTGTTCCCCATGACGAGAGACACCATGCTTGCATCCACAGTTGTGCCTTTCTGAAATGGGCTGGATTGGTGTGTTCCCCTCAACAAGGGACCCCATGACAGCTTCCACTGGTTTGCCTGTCTGGAATGGGATGGAGTGGCATTTTCCTCATGACAAGGGACCCCATGTTGGCGTCCACAGGTTTGTCTGTCTGGAATGGGGTAGATTGGCATGTTGCCCACAGTGAGGAACCCTGTGACAGTGTCCACAGGTGTACCTGTCTGCTACAGGCTGGATGGGTGTCTTCCCCGTGTGAAAAGGGACCCCACAATGGTGTCCACATATGTGCCTGTCTGGAATGGGCTGGAGCAGCTTGTTCCCCATGAAAAGGGACCCTGTGATAGCATCCACAAGTGTGCCTGTCTAGAACGTGCTGGAGTGGTGTGTTCCCCATGACGAGGGACCCCACAATCTTGTCCACAGTTGTGCCTGTCTGAAACCAGTTGGAGTGGTGTGTTCCCCATGACAAGGGACCCCGCAAGAGCATCCACTGGCCTGTCCAGAATGGCCTGGAGCAGTGTGTTCTCCATGACAAGGGACTGCTTCCATAGCGTCCACAGATTTGCCTGTCTGGAATGCACTGGAGGGGAGTTTTCCACCTGAAGAGGGACCCTGAAACAGCGTCCACAGGTGAGCCTGTCTGGAACAGCCTGGAGTGGTGTGTTCCCCGTGACAAGGCCTCCATGATGGCATCCACAGGTGTGGTTGTATAGAATGTGCTGGAGTGGCATATTCCCCACAACTAGGGTCCCCGCAACTTAGTCCATAGGTGTTCCTGTCTGGAATGGGATGGTGTGGCTTGTTCCATGTGATGAGGGACCCCACGACGAGTGACACCAGGAGTGTGTCCACAGTTGTGCCTGTTTTGAAAGTGGTGAATCATCATGTTCCCCTCAACAAGGGACCCCCGCAATACCATTCATAGGTTTGCCTGTCTGGAAAGGGCTGGACTGGCATGTTCCACATGACGTGGGACCCTGCATTGGTGTCCACAGTTGTGCCTGTCTGGAACAGGCTGGAGGGGTGTGTTCCCCATGATGAGGGACCCCACAATGGCATCCACAATTGTGCCTGTCTGGACTAGTCTGGATAGACATGTCCCTGCATCAAGGGACCACATGATGGTTTCCACAGATATGCCTGTCTGGAATTGAGTGGATCAGTGTGTCCCCTATGATGAGAGACACCATCACAGTGTCCACAGTTGTGATTGGAACAGGTTGTATTGGCATGTTCCCTGTGACGAGGGACCCTGCAATGATGTCCACATGTGTGTCTTCTCTAACAGGCTGGATAGGAATTTTCCCCATAACGAGGTACCCTGTGACATTGACCACATGTGTGCCGGTCTGGAACGAGATGGATTGGCGTGTTCGCCAAGACAAAGAACCCCACAATGGCGTCCACTGGTGTGCATGTTTGGCACGGGCTGGAGCAGAGTGTTCCCCGTGATCAGGGACCCTGCAACAATGTCCACAAGTGTGTTGGTCTGGAATGTGCTCAAGTGGCATGTTCCCCATGATAAGGAGCTCTGCAATGGCTTCCACAGGTGTGCCTGTCTGGAACAGCCTGGAGTGGCATGTTCCCCGTGATGAGGGACCCCATGACTGTGTCCACAGGTGTGCCTGTCTGGAATGGACTGTTGCAGTGTGTTCTCCACAAAGAGGGACCTCACAATGACGTCCACAGGTGTGCCTGAATGGAATGGGCTGGAGCGGCATGTTCCCCACAGCTAGGGTCAACATGACTTCATCCACAGCTGTGCCTGTCTGGAACAGGATGGTGTGGCCTGTTCCCCTCAATGAGGGACCCCAAAATGGCATCTACAGGTGTGCCTGTGACAGGTTCAAGTGCCATTTTCCCCGTGATGAGGGACCCCATGACAGCATCCACAGGTGTGCATGGATAGAATGGGCTGGAGTGACATGCTCCCCACAATGAGGGACCCCACAACCATGTCCACAGGTATGCCTTTCTGGAACGGGCTAGTTTCATGTTCCCCATGACAAGTCATCCCACAATAGCATCCACAATTGTGCCTGTCTGGAATGGGCTGGAGGGGAGTTTTCCCCATGATGAGGGATCCCACAGTGGTGTCCACAGTTGCACCTGCCTGGAAGGGGCTGGATCAGCATGTTTCCCATGACAAGGGACCCCACACCATTGTCGACAGGTGTGCCTCTCCAGAAGGGCTGTAGCAGCATGTTCCCTGTGACAAGGGACCCCACGACATTGCCCAAAGATTTGCCTTTCTGGAATGGCATGGATTGGCGTGTACCCTGTGATGAGAGATGCCTCAATGGTGTCCGCAGTTGTGCCTTTCTGAAATGGGCTGTATTGGCATGTTCCCTGAATTGAGGGACCCCATGACAGTGTCCTCAGTTTTGCTTGTCTAGAATGGGGTGGATTGGTGTGTTGCCTGTGATGAGAGCCACCATGACATCTTCCACTGGTGAGCCTGTCTGGAACGAGTTGGATTGGTGTGTTCCCCATGATGAGGGAAGCTTCAATAGTGTCCACAGTTGTGCCTGTCTGGGATGGAGTGGATTGTTGTGTTCCCCATGGTGATAGATATCATGATGGCATCCATAGGTGTGCCTGTCTGGAACAGGCTCAAGCAATGTGTTCTCCATGATGAGGGACCCCGCAACAGTATCCACAGGTGTGCATGGTTGGAACAGGCTGGAGCGACATGTTCCCTGCAACAAGGGACCCTGCGACCATGTCCACAGGTATGCCTTCCTGGAATGGGCTCGAGCTTTGTGTTCCCCATGACAAGGGACCTCGCCATGGCATTCACAGGTGTGCCTGTCTGGAACAGGCTGGAGCTGTGTGTTCCCCGCAATGAGGGACACTGCAACGGCATCCACAGGTGTGCCTTTCCAAAACAGGCTATAACAGCATGTCTGCAGCATCAAGGGACCCTGCGACGGTGTCCACAGTTTTGCCTGTCTGGAATGGGGTGGATCAGCATGTTCCCCATGATGAGGGACCCCGTGATGGCGCTCACAGGTGTGCCTGTCTGGAATGGGCTAGATTGGCATGTTCCCTGTGATGAGGGACCCCGTGATGGCATCCACAGGTGTGCCTGTCTGGAAGGGGTGGATCAGCATGTTTCCCATGCTGAGGGACCCTGCAATGGCATCCACAGGTGTGCCTGTCTGTAACAGGCTGGAGCAGCATGTTCCCCACAACTAGGGTCTCCGCTACTTGGTCTACAGGTGTACCTGTCTGGAACAGGATGGTACAGTCTGTTCCCTGTGATGAGGGACCCTGCGATGAGGGACCCCATGAATGTGTCCACCCTGATCCCTGACCCAACACTACAGTCTCTATCATCAATGTCCAGTGAGGTGTTGTGGTGCATACTTGTAATCCTAGGAGTCTGGATGGTTAGATAGGAGGATCTTCAGGAGTTTGAGGCCACATAGCAAGTTCAAGGCCAACCTGGACTGCATACCAAGTCCCTATCTCAAACTCAGAACCAGTACCACCAGAAAAAAACCTCAGAACTTCCAATTTCAATTTTGTTGCAGTTAGTCAAGTTCAAATTACAAAAAAAGTTCATAGTTCACATTGAGGTTCACGCTCCTGTTGTATACTTCACCAGCATAAAAAAAATATAAAATGACATATTCCAACATTCTGGCATGACATGATGTTGTTTCACTGCCCTAAATATGCTCTATATCCATTGATTTCTGTGTCTTTTTTCGCATTTCCAGTAAGATATTCATGTTTCACTGTTCCTATAGTACTTTTCTTTTCCAGAATGACAAAATACTGGAATTTATAGTATAGGAGATTTTCAAATGCTAATCTCAAAATACACTGTATTATGAAATAGAATAAGAAAAATATCCTCTGTTATTATCCTCAATATCCTGGGTTAGTAAAGGTGTTGGATTAGGGGCTTTCATAGATTTGATTGTGACTTGGAGGTTATGAAAGGATACAGACTTGCTTGGACTGAATGCTATGAGTCTACACTAATCTTAAAATGTGGTGAGGAATTTCAAAATTCTGATGGCCTTACTATTGTCTGTTTTTGCAGACACTTAAACTGTCACTGTTCTTCTTTTATATTGCTGAAAGCTACTTGTTTCATTGAACCTTCTTGGTGTCTTTCTCTGCTCCTTGGGGAATTCCCCAGGTTGGTAGTCTTGCTCTCAATGATCTGGTTCCTAAGCATTGAGAAGAAGAGGTGATTTCATTTCATGCTGATAAATGTCTCCCATCTTTATTTTCACATCTTCCTATGTGGCTCCAGGACTGTAGTACTTGAACACTTCCCATAATCACAGCTCAGTGTGAGCAAGAGTTAAATGTTGTGGAAGGAAATAGGACATGGCTTGGTTAATACAGGGCCTTAGCATGATATTTTGTTTTCCAACCATGATGGCAGCAGCACCAGATATGTTAGCCACATAGGGACACAGTCATCAAGCTCTGCACTATTTTTTTCCCATAAAAACCTGGGTTTCAGCCACAGGAGCATTCATCTGTCTCTTTTTTAAAAAATTAAGCTTATTGGTACATTTTAGTTATATATTATGACCACATCCATTATTGGGAATTTGTACCTGTACATTATATATCTTGGTTCTTATTTTTACCCACACCCCTTCCCTCCCTTCAACCTCTCCACCCCTCATTTACATAAGCTTTTTTGTATTTTTTCTTTTTTTATGATTTTCTTTCTTTTCTTGCCTTCACCCCCCAACTCGATCCAATTCCTTTCTGAAAATTTTCTTCCTATTTCACAATGTCTGTTATATATTTTGATCCTCATTTACTCTCTGTTTATTTTTGAATTATGCATATTTTAGGGCCCAAATCAAAATCACAAATGTGGTTTAGCCTAAAATACCTAGTAAAAGGGAGATTATAGAAAAAAGTCCTCCTATGTTTATTTCTAACCTTCCATTTTCCTGTCATTAATATAGGATCCACAGGGGATATTTTGATGACCCAGAGTCCAAGCTCCCTGTCCATCACCCCTGGAGAGTAGGCTTCCATCTCATGCATGTCTAGTCAGAGCCTGGTACATAGTAATGGAAACACCTATTTGCATTGCTACCTGCAGAAGCGAGGCCAGTCTCCACAGCTTCTGATCTATAGGCTTTCCAACCAGGCCCCTGGAGTCTCAGATAGATTCAGTAGGTGTGGATCAGGGACAGATTTCACACTGAAAATCAGCAGAGTGCAGGCTGAGGATGTGAAAGATTATTACTGCATGCAAACTGTACAATAGCCTCCCACAGTGATACAGCCCTGAACACAAACCTCCCTGCTTGGTGTGGCCCAGCTGCTTTCATGGGTTTCTCATCTTGAGAAGAGCACAGCAGATTTTCTGAGTGTTTATGAGAGAGGAAGCTGATGGGGAAGTCATGACAAGAACTTGCAGTTCTGTTTCTGTCCCATGGTTGCATTGGCTACACTCAGGAAAACTCCATTAAAGGCCCTGTCAGCTCTCACAGCCTGGGCTTTGTATACGAGCAGAAAAAGAGTTGAGATCCATGTACCTTCTGAACAAATGGACACCACTGCAGTGAGATCTGAATGAAATCTCAAGCTAATCCTCCCAGCACTGCTTCTTTTTGTTAATGATCAGTTTAATGGCCATGTGATTGATACAGATTTGGACAACACATGTAGAACATGTCTTGAAGTTTATCAATGCTTATATCATTCTAGGAAGATTATATTGGGTAATATTTAGAAATGAGTATTTTTAAACTTTCCCCACTTCTTCTTTGTCCTTTTACAACTTATGATAGCAGTCAGTACAAATGGCATGGATGACATTCCAAAGAATGACCTCTTGCCTGAGTTCTGAGGACAACTCATGAAAATCTTGGGCTTTGAGTCTGAAAATAGACTTTTGTAAATTTATAGAAAATAGATACTGATGCTAAAACTCTTTCATTTGTTCAAATTATTTTTAACTCTTACAGAAAAGGGGTCCTTGAAATTCCAGAAGTTGAGTATTATAAAAATATACCATAAACTGGAAGACACAGAGTATAGAAGTTGCTTTGTCCACCATTAGGATAACATGAAATAGTATGCGACCATTTTTCTCTCCAAAAAGTTCATAATTTTAATTCTTTGTCAGTGTGATAGGAATATATCAAAGGTTAACTCAGGTGAAGTAACCTGATTTTTGACTTGTGGTCGGTTCAGTCCTGGATGATGCTTTGATTCTCTCACCTCTGCTTCCCACAGGAAGGAGGTGTCTTTACAGCAGAATATTGTCCACATCCCAGAAAGGATATTTTTATATTTTTGAGAAGCTGTCATTGTGAGAGGCTGACTGTTGTGTTGCTCATATTAAAGCATCCCAACATCTTCCGCTTCCACTTGTTTTATGTTTGGGGTTCTCATAGAAATCAATCCACATGATATTTGAGCTTGTGTGTCTGATTTAGCTCACTTAACATTGTGCTCTCAAGGTGCATTCATTTTGGAGTCCTATTCAGGGAATTTTTGCCTGTGCCTGTGTTTAAAGCATTTTTTCTATGTTATCTTTCAGCAGTTTTGGTTTCTGGTTTTATATCTAGGGCTTTGATTCATTTGGATTTGATTTTAGTACCAGGCAAGAGATGGGCAATCTTCTGCATGTAGATACCAAGGTTTCCTAGTGCAATTTGTTAAATTTCCTATCATTTCTTTGTTGAATAAGAACTCCTTCGATACTTTATGTATATCATTTTTCTAAACAAAATATTTCATACATATTTTTCATTGTGTTATAATATCGTACCATCATAATTTGTCAATAGTCAGTGTTACTCAGGACTGTCCAATGAGAGCTCATTCAAGCTGCTTTCTAACATTTTCAGATTTTACACCAATATTCTCTGAGGATTTCATTAGTTTAGAGCACAACTTGGTCCATGCCCACCTTGTATTTTCCCTGTCCTAAACCTGAAATAAGTCCTTTCACAAAGAATTTCTTATTTGTATTTCTGGAGATGGGTATTCAAAAGAGGAAAAAGATTTAGCACTACAAATGTTCACTGATCAGAAAATAATTTTTCTGATGTATATATTGTATGCCTTCTTATCATTTAACTTCATGTGTTAAATCTATCAAACCATGAATTTATATGTTTTGATTATACTACAAAGTCACAATTTGTTCTGTTATTCTCTATTTTCATATTCATAATATTTTCTCAAAGCTGAGACTCATGGCTTTGATTGTGTTGACTGCATTAATTCAGTTGATTACTTTTTCTCTAAAACCAATTTCTGGTTGCCATTGGTATTTGCACTCTGTCACAGCTTCTTTCCTAAGATTTTCACACACCTGCAGTACTACTAATGCACCTTGGAAGCTTACTAATGATCAGCTCCTTACATTGGTGCCCTCATCTGACCACCTGGGCTCTGCCTAGAGCACCAGTGACTGCCAGGGTGAATGCTCTGCTCTTCTTTCTGCAGCTGTGAGATCCTCGTCTGATTGATGGGGCATCTCTCTCCTTCTGGACAGCCATGTAGGGACACTACCCTCCCTCCAGTCTGATTAAAGTCCCCAATCTTCTTTCCTCTTCATGCCATAGTGTAGAAGGCACTTCTATACATTTGCCAAGAGGATCTCTGGACACTGATTCTAGAGATGAGTGACAGAGGCCCAGTGAGAAAGGAGATGGAAGAATTGGGGGCATTTGCCTGTGAGCTTCAATCCACACAAAAAGATGAAGTGTCCATTGACAATTATGAGCTTGTAGCCTTTTAACAAAATCTCATAGAGCATCTCCTACTAAAGAGCCAAGCTGTATATTAGAATTTTAAAATATGCAGTCAGTAGTGTATCATTAAATAGGAAATAAACATTTAAACTGACATTTAACAGATGTTCAAGGTTTTTCTGCACACTCATTGAAGAGATGCATGATAGAGACACAAATGGAGAAAATGAAGAAAATGACTCAGCATGTAGGGGCTCAGGAGAGAAATGAATGTTATGAAAATAGACCAAATGGGAATCCTATGACTGGAAAGTAAAATAACCAAAGAACAATTCACTAGATAAGTATAACAAGAATAAATAATGGCAGCAGAATCAGAAAGGGGACCAAGAGATGGAGTGGGGGGATGTGAAATGGGAGGGGAAGCAGAAGCTAAAGGAACTGAGCTGTTATGTGCACGTACCAACTCTCCATGCTGAATGCAATCATTGTACACTGCAACCATCCATCATTAAAAAATTTAAAAATTAAAAAAGGACTTTCCTAAAGAAAACATGATCGATGAAAATGAAGACCTTAGAAATTTGTAGATCACTATTAAGTACAGCAACAAATGTGTATGCGAATCAAAAAAAGGATAGAAGATACATGAGAAAATATTAGCAAAATATTTTCAAATGCAATGAAACAGAATAATGCACAAAGAAAGTCTATGAAACTCCTTTAAGTGAAACACAAAAAATCCTTTACTCATGTTTCAAATTATACACCCATATATGATGAAAAAGGTAAAGTCTCTAAGAAAAAAAACTCATTATACATAGAGAAACACTAATCATACCAAACAAAGTTTTTGACATAACCAATAAAGAATACATGATTGTGGAAAGATATATTCTCATGTTGATTGAGAAAAAATAAATCTGGCAAAAATTTTATGTTCAATGATAATGTACTTTAAAACTACAGTAAAAATATGCTCTTTTAGCTAAAACTAAAGGAAAATTACTATGCAGAGAAACACCTCATGAGAAATCCAAGAGACTACCCTGAGAATCAGAAGTATCAGTTTTTATTAGAAGTATGGAGGCTTGAATTGTGAATAAATACTTTTATATTTAAGGAAATAAGGATGTACACATGAATGTATTCATTTTATAGCACATTACTGACTCCAAGTTTTAAATAAACAAATGATTCTTCATAACAAAAATCTAGATGGAGTAATGCCAGAAGACAAGTAAAGCACTTGAATTCATAAGAAAACAATAAAGGCCTCAAAAATATTGAAGAAACCAGAAAAAGCTGAAAAGAGAAAAATAATGCTTAGTTTAATTTATATGCCATTTAAGTCTAGAAAAATCTGAACTACTGTGACAAATATCAGAAGTACAATTACCTTGGTAGGTTTACTGCGAGCAGATATGGACAGGAAAGGGCTGGAGGAGGGCATCTGAGGAACTGGATATATCATTCTACAGTTTGATCACAAATTATGTTGAACTATGTTTATTGTACATTTAACAACTCTGCTCTTGACACTATATGTGTTTCATCTTAATTAAAAAATAAGACCAAATGTAAGCTCTGCAAAACCTACATGTGGTAAAAAAAATAGGAACCACCAACCATGCATGGAAACTTACCCTCATTAAAAGTGTAAAATATGCCAGAAAAAGTGGTGAGGAACTAGAAATCAGTACAGATAGAGGAAATATACACACATTTCCATCTGCTGCTGAACAGAAATTTGATCTCTCTTAGTTTTCCTAGAATCTCAGATGTTTCATGCCATGTTGCCCATGGGAGAAGTCCTGAGCTTCCTATTCACAGTCATTCCAC